TAGTTTAAGTAGAGTTGAAGAAGTAAACTACTTAAAGTTGATTGAGGATTGACAAATTGGAAGTACAATGTTGTTTTGAGTGATATAACGAATTGTATGTATTTAATATCATGGTAACACGGGGGTTGACTGGGGGAGGATTTCTTTTACTCGTGATTATTCCATGGTTGGTTCCGATTATCACCACTTCTTATATATGCGCTGGTATAGTAGCACCGGGATAACATTGGGGATACTGCAGGAGATACTATCCTGTCGGTGGGTCACGTAAACCCCAGGTATCTGGGGTGATCGGAGGGAGTTACAGCTTGGTCAGACGTGCCAAGCAGAGGGCGAGCATGCTCAACCGCCAAGATCTGGGAAGAGCAAGAGGGACGGTCCAATGGCACGGTCAGGGAGGAGCGACGTTACAAGACCTTCCGCGCCTGGTGGAGAACAGGTTGAGATACAACCAACGAGCACCTGCGCTAGTAATCGTGCATCTGGGAACAAATAACTTGGGCCTGAATGATGCCTGCCAATGCAGAATCGCGATCGATATGGCTCTTCAAACCCTTCGGACAGCCATGCCTCGTACGCACATCGCCTGGTCGACCATCATCCCACGCCTATTCTATCATAGCAGTCGTGGTCATCGAACATCACAAGACGCCATGGATGGGGTCAGGAAATCGCTCAACAAGTACGCGAGGAGATTAATAGCCCGGCTGCCGAATGCGTCAGTTATTGCTCATCAGTTGGATCCATCCAATCACAGTTTATTTTTAAGAGATGGGGTACACCTGTCCGACAGAGGATCCGACGCTCTCATCGATAACTTCCAAGAAGGAATAGACTCGGGCTTGGGTACACATGAATAGAACATTTACATCCACGGAAACGGGACAATAACACTAATTCGGCTATTAATGAGCCTTGTGGAATCTCGGACAGACTGGGTTCGATGTGACAATGGAATTATTATAACACAAAAAGTTGAGGAACAGCGTGTTGTAACGTGAGTTACATATTCAGATATATACGCCTTCATTTTGGGATTCACATTAAACTTGAAACTTATTTAATTGCTGACAAACTAGAACCATATTTAAATTAATGATTGATTTTGATGTACTGGTATACGTCGTACATAATTGTTAAGCTAGCAGAGGGTGGAGTCAGAGCCACTCGGTCGCACAGTAGCCTCAGAACTACAAAGTGGGCCATAGGGGAATTTTCCCCGACAAAGGAAATATAATTATTTTGCTCGTTAAACTAAGCCACAATGGCAATATTGTCGGGTTTTCGCCTCTATCACTGTCTGGCTAGCAGCAAGAATAATAACATAAGATTACAATATGTTACGGATTGAATCCATGATAAATACATGATAATAGTTAGTTAAACAGCATGGGTCCATAGATGGTAAGGAAGCAACCATGGCAAACCACGCCCAACCCCCCCCCCCCCCCCCTCCACACAAAAAAAAAAAAAAAAAAAAAAAAAAAAAAAAATGTGGGTGGAGGATTTCTTTTACTCGTGATTATTCCATGGTTGGTTCCGATTATCACCACTTCTTATATATGCGCTGGTATAGTAGCACCGGGATAACATTGGGGATACTGCAGGAGATACTATCCTGTCGGTGGGTCACGTAAACCCCAGGTATCTGGGGTGATCGGAGGGAGTTACTACCCTTCCGCTGATCGCGTGACTCGAGACCCCACAAATATAGTGTTTCCATAACTATGTTATTTATGCATTGATGATTTTGTGAGTATTGAAAAGTTGTGGGGATCATCCGTAGGAGATACTATCCTACCGGCAGGTCACGTAAACCCCAGGGACCTGGGGTGATCGGAGGGAATTACTATCCTTCCGCTGATCGCGTGACTCGAGATCCCACAAATATAGTGTTTCCATAACTATGTTATTTATGCATTGATGATTTTGTGAGTATTGAAAAGTTGTGGGGATCATCCGTAGGAGATACTATCCTACCGGCAGGTCACGTAAACCCCAGGGACCTGGGGTGATCGGAAGGAGTTACTATCCCTCCGCTGATCACGTGACCGGAGATCCCTACAATTTTGAGTTTCACTCATGGTACATGTACCCTTAAGATTGTTGAATCATATCACGTTTATACATTATTGTCGAATTGTTTATGGTGGACCCTCTTTATTGTGGTTATAAGATTTTGTTATTGCTTTTATGCATGTTACTTGTTTTACTTTGACTTTCCTACTTTACATGTTTTGAGGAAAAGGACTCCTAGTTTCGGAGCGGAATAAATGTCGAGCAAACTGCAAATCAGTCTAAAGTTGTCTTCTTCCTAGAAGTGGGTTATTGATGTAGACAAATGCTCATGTACCCTTTATAGCTCATTATATGTATGTTTTTTACCAAAGAAGAAAAAAAGCTAGTCAGTCACTCAATAGTGTCTGACAGTGAAGTCTAGCAAGTAAACAGGTTTCCTTGCATAATTTGAATATTAGGACACTGCTAAATTTTAAAGTTCACAGAGAGGACATACATGACATATTCATAATTCCTGCAAAGTTCTACAGATTTTGAGGTTGCATGGTTGCAAAAGGGACATAGTATCTTTAAAGGTATGGAAAATTTGTATTTTGGAATATATAAACCAGCAGAAGAACAAATATTTAGAAAAATGAGTAACTCCAATATAATCATATATCAAAGCATTGCGTCTGGTATCTGAGTACCAAAAGAGATCATTGCTTTCAATAAGGAAGACTGTTTTCTATGACAAGGCAGATTACACAAGCTTGTTGCCTTTTTATTGTGTAACTTTAAAAGCTAATTAATTGAAGGTAATAGGCATTTCTTTTAACATACTTACAGCAATGAAATACCTTGCCTGTTCACATAGTAAATCGTCATGTTGGGTATAAACTTGGACCCAAAGTAAAAAATGGAATTGAAAATCTCAAGCACACAAACCCGTTTTGCAGTTGTATCATCAGACCTCTTTCCTCCCTTTTCCTCCATCGACGGAAAATATATTAAAGCATAGACTTAGTTATATTAAAATGTGAGTTATACATTCACAAAATGTAATTCATAAGCTTGGTAGCCTTATTTTTCATTTCGATACAGGAACAAGAATCAGAGACTGTTTTGTTGGAGCTTGTTCCTCCAGCCTTATGGACTAAGAGTGACTCATATTAAAGAAATGGACAACATCATCGCCGATACGCTTTGTAGAGCATAGGCATATCTACTGAACAGTTGCAAGTTGTAAAACACCATGAAACGGGCCCTGATCTACCCATTATACAAGATTTATTGAATAAAGCAAATGAGAGTATTGTAACAAACTCTACAAAATACTAAAGAGCTTTGAGTGTTATCAAGTGACATAGTGTACACTGACATAACAGTAGGAAATATAAAACTGAAATCTGAAAGTGCTGCAAGGTAGAGGGGGGGGGGGGCATTGACATTCAGCGCGTTTCTATTAAAAGCCATTATCCGGTTAACCCTATTTAGCCCGGGCTATTTTGAAACTGCATAGCCCGGGGGGGGGGGGGGGGGGGGGGGGGGGGGCTTCTAAGGCCCCCCCCCCCTATGATCTCGGCCGTGAAACTTGAAAATTTGCATACATGTCAAGTGAAGTGTATAGAATACTATGGTAATTTCAATTTCTTGAAAAATTCACTCATTTGCAAATTTATGGTAATTTATGCAAATAAGGTCATAAAATTCACATTTTTGCCCATAAATCAGACATTATTCATATTTAAGCATTCTTTCTCACTACATATATTTGTTAGACCATTTGGAATAATAATACAACACAAAAAATTGAACAAACAGGGTTATTCCTTATGTTATCTATTGTTTTGATAATTTCTTATGTATTTCTTTGTTTTTTTAACTTATGTATCTTATTGTTTTTGTTGTTTTATTTCATTTCCAACTATAATTCAACCTATGACCCCAAAATAAACACCTTAACTATAAACAAGACCAAATAACCAATGTTTTATCTCATTATTTGAAAAATGAGATTTCCATATGTTTTGGACACAAATCACAAAAATGAGCGATTTTCGGGCTGACATGCAAAGACAAAACGACACGTGACTTTTTAACGGTAGGTCCGATTTTCGAAAAATTTCTTTCAAAAGATGCGCAAGACTCGAAAAAAAATAGTCACAAAATTTCAGTGCAAGATTTTTTTGCGTTAAAAAATTATCGCGAAAAATGTCGAGGGGGGGGGGCTTCTAAAGCCCCCCCCCGGGCTAAATAGGGTTAATGGCCGATAAGGGATGAATTTTGCCTTATAGAAACTGACTTGCTCCGCCGTGAGATCTGTGTCGCGTTCCGGGCAAGAAGGATATTGCAGGGGAAGCTAACCGGATAACGTAAGTAGAAACTCACCTCATTCCGGTTGAGTGCACATAGCAGAGAGAAACCAGAAATCAGAGTGATCACGTGATCGGAATATTTTACATCGATGCATGCAACACTACAATCCCAGGTTGACCTAGCAGTCCCTCAATACTTTGCAGTGACCTTAGCCAAAGTTTGATGAACTTTTATTCACGGCCGTGTAATCGGAGCAGTGTATTTTTCAGGATAATGCGCGTAGATAGAAACTGCCCTTCCCTGCCAATTGTAGACTATTTTCTTCAACCAGATAAATTCAGTATAACTAATGGAAACATGCTGATTGACACAGAGATCTCGGTTATGGTAAGCAATATGAAAATGAAAATTGGTACACATATTGAATAAAGTATACACAACATGCTTCCATCCAATTTTGGCAATACCCTATACTGTTACAGGAGGACTAAACAATGTTGAAAGATAGTACAAAGCATTGAATATAAATTCAAATCAAATATTAGTCTTCTTTGGACGTGTTTTAAACGTTAATATGCCTTAGTTCGGACATGGGAAGTTACAAAATATTAAATCTTCTTTAGCATAACAGAATACATGGACTTGGCAACAGAGTTCAATGACTATAGGTTATGCATACAAACCTCCAACAAGCTCCTATGTCTTTGTAAATCCAACTCTTGGTCGAGTAGCTTGCTGATCTGAAAGAGTTGAGTTAGGATAAAGAGCATTTATAAAGCATGTGATCCAAACAGGACACTGTGACCCCAAATTTTATATCTATATAGACATTTTTATAAATACACGTCATTAAAAAATTGGTCGGCATCATTCTTTTAAGTTTCAATCCATGTTTTATAAAAGGCAACACTTTCCCTGTTGGAGCCAAGTGTGTACCTCACTAATTACCCAGTGACATGATTAAACGGCTAAAAATGGTGGGAGGACAGAACAAAATATTGAGGGCAGCTTGGCAGCAATGATCGATGGCTACAATTATGCAAACAAACCCTGTTTTCTGCAGATGTGTAAAAAGACAACTCTGGGTAGGCTGGCTTGATCATTTGAAAAAGAGTTGAGGAGGGATTCAAGATCATTTATAAAGCATGTGATCCAAAGAGGATAGTAGGACCCCCAAAGAGGGTCCTTTGAATTATTCATGTGTATGTATGTGTTTTGGGTTTTTACAGACGTGTATTAATCAGATATGATAATTTATGTCTGGGGACCGACCTTTAAACGTCACCATCCGAAAGACGTGACTCAGTTTCGAACCTGCATCCTCGGCTGAATCAGTTTGTAACTTCCACTTTTTAGCTGGATTACAGGCGCAAGCCACAACGCCTAGTTGAAATTATCCCCCCCCCCCCTTTTTATATTAAAGGTATGGGAAATTTGTATTTTGGAATATATGAACCAACTGAAAAATAAATATTCAGAAAAATGAGTAACTCCAATATAATCATGTTTTGTTGGAGCTTGTTCCTCCAGCCTTATGGACTAAAAGTGACTCATATTAAAGGAATGGACAATATCATTGCCGATCACTTTCTAGAGCATAGGCATATCTACTGAACAGTTGTAAGTTGTAAAACACCATGAAACAGGCCCTGATCTACCCATTATACAATATTTATTGAATAGCCTAAAGAAACTAAAGAGCTTTGAGTGTTATCAAGTGATATAGTGTACACTGACATATTAACAGTAGGCAATATAAAACTGAAATCTGAAAGTGCTGCAAGGTAGAGGAGGGGGGGGGGCATTGACATTGACACAGAGATCTCGCTATGGTTAGCGATTTGAAGATGAAAATTGGTACACATATTGAATAAAGTATACACAACATTGACACAGAGCTTTTATCCAATGTTGGCAATACCCTATTACACTGTTACGTGAGGACTAAACAATGTGGAAAGAGAGTACTAAGCATTGAATATAAATTCAAATCAAATTTGGTCTTCTTTGGACGTGTTTTAAACTTTAATATGCCTTAGTTAGGACATGGTAAGTTACAAAGAATTAAATCTTCTTAAGCATAACATAATACATGGACTTGACAACAGTGTTTAATGGCTACAGTTTATGCATACGAACCTCTATTAAGATCCTTTGTCTTTGTAAATCCAACTCTTGGTCGCATAGCTCGCTCATCTGAAAGAGTTGAGTATTAAAGGATAAAGATCATTTATAAAGCATGTGATCCAAACAGGACACTGTGACCCCAAGTTTTATATTTTATATAGACATTTTATAAATACATTTCATTAAAAAAAATCAGTCGGCGTCATTGTTTTAAGTTTCAATTCACGTTTTAGAAAAGGTAACACTTTCCCTCTTGGAGCCAAGTGCATGTGTACCTAACTAATTACCCAGTGACATGATTTAATGGCTTAAAATTGTGGGAGGACAGAACAAAATATTGAGGGCAGCTTGGCAGCAATGATCGATGGACGACCATGCTCCTGAAAAATAGAAGAAGGTTATACTCCGACCTCACGCCCCATGGTATTAAGAAGCCCTGCAGAAGATGAAACAGGAGAGACGACGATGTGAACGTAAAGGTCTTCCCTCCTAATAGACAAAGATATATACCAGACAAAATGCAAGGTCTACAACGAACAGAACAACCAGGCCAAGAATCAGTACATACAGGCAAAGATCTCAGATTTCGATCAGAAAGACCTGTTCCACGTTGTACGTCAATTAACCTCACCAGTACATGCTCACATCCTTCCTCAACACAAATGTTCTGCTCAGCTTGCGAATCGGTTCGTTGATTACTTCCAAGAGAAAATCAAACATCTCTGAGATGACCTGAATCTTGTGATTCATAATGACCTATCCGTCGATATCTTAGAGACATATCTATCATCAATGCTAGAATTCGATATCACCACGGAGGATGAGATTCTCAATATTCTTAAGTCCACATCGACAACTTCCTGTGACCTCAACCCTATGCCTATACCACTTCTGAAGAAGTGCTTATCTGAACTTCTACCTGTGATGACTAAGATTGTCAACGAAAGTCTACAATCTGGGGTTGTTCCTGTATCACTGAAGCAAGCTGTCATGATTCCTAAGCTGAAGAAGCCTGGCCTCACACCTGAAGTACTTGCATACTATTTGCCTATTTCTAACATCAGCCACATTAGCAAGGTCATCGAAAAGGTTGCAATTGCCCAGATACAGGAATACCTGACATCACATGACCTGCTTCCTCAGACACAATCGGCATATACATCTCACCACAGTGTAGAAACGGCCTTACTGCGCATCAACAACGACATCTTGAGATGGACAAGCGCTTGGAAGCCATACTCCAATAGTCCAATTAGACTTCACAGCTGCTTTTGACACGATCGATCACCTTCTCATCCTAGATCGATTGTTCCGTCGTTAAGGACTCGCAAGTACTGTCCTCAGCTGGTTGAGATCGTACTTCCCACAACGGAGTCAAGCCGTCAAAGTTGGGACCAGTACCTCACAAACTGTCGAGGATACTATCGAGGTTGCTCAGGGTTCTGTCATGGGGCCACTTACGTTCATCCTATACACCGCACCGATCAACGACATCATTTCAGCTCACAAGCTCAATATCATGATCTACGCAGACGACACCCAGATTTATGCCATATTTCATCCTTCAGAACGTTATGTATTCACTTACAAACTGAACGCGTGCATTAAGGACATTTGAAGTTGGGCTGTTCGAAATCAACTTGCCATAAACGATAAGAAAACAGAGGTTACTGTTACATTTCCATCAAGATTCCTTAATCGGCCCAGTGTTACCCTGATGGTAGGTGACACCAACATAGCGGCATCAGCAAAGGCAAGAAACTTGGGAGCTAGCATTGACCACCAACTTATGATGAAAACCCAAGTTAAGAACATCTGCAGATCTTCCATGGCTGCCATCCGCAAAATCGGACAGATCCGGATGTACCTTGACACTAAAACAACAAAGAAACTCGTCCATGCATTCGTCATTTCACGACTGGACTCATGGAACTCTCTACTCAGTTGCCTCCCAGACACAGAAGTGAACAAACTACAACGCATTTAGAATACCGTAGCCAGAATGATTGAGCAATCCCGACGGTCAGAGCACATATCACCCATCCTCCTTCGTCTCCACTGGTTGCCTGTCACTGGTTGCCGCACTCTCCGATCTTAGCAACAAAGTGCACTACAAGTTCTACGCACGAACCCATACTCAATTCTACGGCGAAAGATCCCTCAGCTACTATGGACCCACCCTATGGAACAACCTCCTCCTCAATATTAGTAACGCCACGACAGCCGATTCATTAAAATCATTTCTGAAGACATTTATGTTCATTCAATAGTCTGTAATTATATGGTAGTTTATGTCAAATAATGTTATTTCCTTACTACAATAAAAGATCAAATTATTTAACTATTAGAATTGTGTTCATAATTTTAGGCTTATACCGAAAGGGTGGGTAGGGTAGCGTCGCGTCGCGTTAACTTGAACGCGACCATCCGTCCAAAGCCCCCCCCCCGGTTTTCCCGAAAGGGTGCGTTGACTAGTCTTCCACATCAGTCGTTTATAATAGAATTTAAGGAATAGTAATTTAAATTGTTTAAATTCAAATAATCAAAATATAAACAGATTAAATAGTAAATCAAACTAGTTTTTACGTAGTCTTGCAGATCAGGCGTTTATAAGAATTAAATCAATAAATAACAAGAAACACAATCAAATAACTATGATATCTAAAATGTCTAATAAAGGTGTTTACCTAGTCTTGCATATCAGTCGTTTATTTATTAAAATAACAAAAAAAATAATATTCATTTCTTTCTATGTATGTTATTCAGAAAGCCCCCCCCCCCCCCCCCCTGCTCGCTTATCCCGAAAGGGTGCATTAAAGGTGAATTGGGAAGAAAGTGATGAAAATATGCATGATTGCTATTGTTGGAATGCTGATGACATAAGGAATACAATATATTGATTGACAGAAATTTGCATGTGTTGTTAAATTATTATTAGACTTAGAAAGATCAATAGTGTAAGCAGAGGAACCCGGAAGCGGTGATATTCTCGTATCTCCGTGGACTGTTCCTAAACCCGGAAGTACAACGTATTATTTCAATGTAAATACGTACACAAACATGGGTCATTTGTTTAGTACATTTTGCAATTTTTGTGATATTTAATGAAGTCTTTTATCGAATATACAATAAAGTAATAAACATTCTTTCAATTATATAAGCATTGGTTACTTCCCGATGTTTGGTTTCCTTGAAATATTGACGTTTGGTACCGTAAAATTGATTGTCTCTAGTTGCAGATCCTGACACACCGGCTTCGCCTATGTTTTGTTTTGATAATTAGCGTAACTTGAATCTCGTGGCACGGGGAAAACTCGCGATAGCTCAGCTCAGCCATTCGTAGTGCAGTGTTCACTGTGTTTCGGTGTATTGCAGCGTGACATTTTTGGGAGATAATAGTTGTTTTTCTCGGGTTATAATTAGCTGAAACGTCTGTCAATTAAACAAATTAAGCAAGGAGACCGCGATCAGAATGCAGGTGAGCTAAAACAGTTGTATTCCTCGGCTTGTAATTACTTCGTGTCTAGTTGAAATGTCTGCTGATCGAGAAAAAAACTCAGCAAAGAGACGGCGCGATAGTGCGGTACTTTCTCTTCGCCATGCATGTACGAATCGACGATACAACAGGGAAGAATTGTTGGGGTAGGACGAAGAATCACCCCATTTTCCCCATCAAAGACTTCTTCAAATTATAATTTCAAGTGGCCATCCAGATGCTCAGAGAAGTTGAGCAACCTAGTATTAAAGCCAAAATTGTACATACTCCCTTTGCATATTTTGAGATAATGTCGCCCAACCCGCTGTTTGAATGTTTCCCTATGCACCCGCTGAAGCTCCGACGCCTTTGGCGTAGGCGTTGTCTCGGAGCTTCCTAGGGTAGCTGCAGCTGCAACTCCCGCATCACGATTCGATCAGCGTTTACGTACATTCTTGTCGTCTTTACATTCGCCCAATTCACCATCATCTTCACTTTCTTTACCATCATCACTGCTACTAACTTCTTCTTCATCATACTCTATTCGTTTCTAGTTCATCTGAGCTGTCTTCTGTCATTTTTACTGATGATTATCATCCCAATATAACATCTATACTTTCACTCTGATTATGTACCCTGCAGTGCTATCTGATTGCGAATAGAATGCGCGCGGTGACCGTGTTGTGAATAGTCCACGGAATGACGTCACACGCCCAAACCTCCTAATGGTATCGTAGACGAAATTCTCTCAGAAAAACTTGATTCTCTTAACTTCATTCCATTATATCTCCTTCCCCTTATGTTTATTGACAATGAACCTAAAAACAAAAATGAAGAACTGAAAATAACCTTTCTAATGATACCTAATTCAATATGAATGGAAATCACCTTTAAGGTGGTAGGCCTACTCCGTTATTTATTTATTTATTCGTTATTTCATTTGTAAAGACTGTTAAGCATGACTAGTTTACATCAAAAAAGAATTCTTTACATAGAAAGAAATGGATATTATTTTATTTGGCCTTTTAAAAATATTTATTGAATTCATTAATTGATGCAAATCTTATAAACGCCTGATCGTCAAGACTACGTATAAACTAGTTTGATTTAATTTTTAATCTGTTTCTATCTTGATTATTTGAATTGAAACGACCTAAATTACTATTCCGTAAATTATATTATAAACGACTGATGTGGAAGACTAGTCAACGCACCCTTTCGGCGAAACCGGGGGGGGGGGGGGCTTCGGACGAATGGTCGCGTTCAAGTCAACGTGCCGTGATGCGACGCTACCCACCCTTTTATCATATACTGTACATGTATATTATATCTGATTTTTTCATCATTGTATACGATATGTATTTCTGTTAATTCATGCATAATTAAATCTTACGATTAATCATGTAATTCATTATATAATTGATTGCTGTAAAGCGTATAGAGAATTTATTATTATGCGCTATATGAAAAATGACTTTCTTATTTATTATTTTATGGCTATAATTATGCATACAAACCCTGTTTTCTGCAGATGTGTAAAGAGACAACTCTCGGTAGGCTAGCTTGATCAGGAATTGAAGTTGATGAGGAATTCAAGATCATTTATAAGCATGTGATCCAAAGAGGATAGTATGACTCCCAAAGAGGGTCGTTTGAATATTTCCCCCCTTGGATATTAAAGATACTATGTCCCATTTGGGGCCAACCCCAAATTCTGTAGAACTTTGCAGGAATTATGAATATGTCATGTATGTCCTATCTGTGAAATGTAAACGTTAGCAGTGTCCTTATATTCAAATTATGCAAGAAAACCTGTTTACTTGCTAGACTTACTAGACACTGTCAGACACTATTGTCAGTATTGAGTGAGTGATTGGCTTTTTTTCTTCTTTGGTAATAACATACATGAAATGAGCTTTAAAGTATTTGTCTACATCAATAACCTACTTCTTGTAATGGCCAAAATTAAACTGATTGAATCTTTGCGCAGCATAAAACGTACGACCATGCGGTACAATGGTCTGAAAATCAAGACTATTACTTATTGGCTCTCCAGCTCCCATGTCGAATTGGCAACTAATAGTCGTTATTTTCCCACTTAAAGACATTTTCAAGCCCCCTTTTTTAAGGGGAGTTCTAAATTAGTATTATCTTTCAAATGCCATTGGAATTTAACCTTTTCATTTTTTGGCCTGCGAATGGGACATAGTACTTGTAAAGGTATGGGAAATTCATATTTTGGAATATATGAACCAACAGAAAAACAAATATTCAGAAAAATGAGTAACTCCAATATAATCATATATCAAAGCATTGCGTCTGGTATCTAAGTACCAAAAGAGATCATTGTTTTCAATAAGGAAGACTGATTTCTATGACAAGGCAGATTACACGAGCTTGTTGCCTTCTTAATGTATAACTATCAAAGATAATTAATTGAAGGTGATAGGCATTTCTTTTAACATATTTACGGCAATGAAATACCTTGCCTGTTCACATAGTAAAAAGTCATGTTGGGTATAAACTTGGACCCAAAGTAAGAAATGGAATTGAAAATCTCAAGCACACAAACCTTGGGTGGGCCAGCCAGTTTTGCAGTTGTATGACCAGACCTCTTTTTTCTCTTTTCCTCCATCGACTGAAAATATATTAAAGCATAGACTTTGTTATATCAAAATGTGAGTTTATACATTCACAAAACGTAATTTATAAGCTTGGTAGCCTTATTTTTCATTTCAATACGGGAACAAGAATCAGAGACTGTTTTCTTGGAGCTTGTACCTCCAGCCTTATGGACTAAGAGTGACTCGTATTAAAGGAATGGACAACTTCATCGCAAATACGCTTTCTAGAGCATAGGCATATCTACTGCACAGTTGTAAGTTGTAAAACACCATGAAACGGGCCCTGATCTACCCATTATACAAGATTTATTGAATAAAGCACATAAGAGTATTGTAACAAACTCTACAAAATACTAAAGAGCATTGAGTGTTATCAAGTGACATAGTGTACACTGACATAACAGTAGGAAATATAAAACTGAAATCTGAAAGTGCTGCAAAGTAGGGGGACATTGACATTGACACAGAGATCTCAGCTATGGTTACCGATATGAAGATGAAAATTGGTACACATATTGAATAAAGTATACACGACATTGACACAGAGCTTTCATCCAATAATAATAATACATTATATTTTATATAGCGCTTATTACAATGTTTCTAAGCGCTTTACAAAGTTGTACTTAGATAATAATACATTCAATAACTATATTTAATATATACTAATAAACCTACAATTAATTCAAAATACATACATAAGCACAGATACATCTAGTCAATACATATAGATACAATAGAATACAATTGATTTTAGGGCGAAACATTACAAATTCAAATTAAGGCAATTACATTACATCTACCGTGAATAACAAATTAAAGCTACAGACTAACATGGAGGATTAACAGGGAGAATTAAAAAGGAATGTCTTAAGGGAGGATTTAAAAGAATCTAACAAAGGAGCTTCCCGAATCTCTAGAGGAAGTCTGTTCCAGAGCCTCGGAGCAGCTACGCTGAAGGCACGGTCTCCATATCGTGTTCGAGTTCTTGGACCTGGGGCCAGTTGCAGATGAGCATAGGTGGATGAGCGAAGTCTTATAGAGGTTGTCTGGGTCTTTGGTGAGATTAGATCTGTGATGTAAATTGGAGCAAGTTCATGTTGGGCTTTGTAAGTTAGGATCAGGATTTTTAAGGTAATGCATTGAGAGACGGGAAGCCAGTGAAGAGAGCGGAGGACAGGGGTAATGTTATCGTATTTTCTGGAACGGGTTATTAAACAAGCTGCAGCATTCTGAATTCGTTGAAGAGGTAGAACATGAGAGTCTGGTAAGCCGTAAAATAAACTGTTGCAGTAGTCAAGGTGTGATGACACGAATGCGTGGACTAATTGTTCAGTTGCGCTGGCCGTCAGGTACTTTCTTATTTTACCTATCTTGGAGATTCCAAAAGCTGCTGCTCGAGACTTCGAACGCATGTGGTCAGCCATGGTGAGATTCTTATCAAGAATAACACCGAGATCACGAGAGGCCTGAACACATGCGATAGACGTTCCATCGTCAATCTGCAGTACAGGGAGAATCCGAGCACCTCTGAACCTGGAGAATACATGGATGACCTCAGTCTTAGAGTCATTGAGTTGAAGATTGTTCTGTAGTGACCATTCCTTAACATCTGCTATACACTGCTGTAGCTTTTGAAGTCCGACGTCATGTTCCTCGGGTCTGATGACGGCATACAACCGAGTGTCATCTGCGTACATGGTATGTAGGATTCCTTGATGGGCATTGATGACCTGCGATAGAGGGCCAGTGTACAGTTCAAACGCCAAAGGACCAATGACCGATCCCTGAGGAATACCCTGGGAGAGAGGAAAAGACTTGGAAACAGCATCGTTAACTACGATCTTCTGTCTCCGATTTTTTAGATAGGAGACCAGCCACTGTCGAGCTACATCCTTGATGCCGTAGTCACGTTCGAGGATTTCAATCAAATTCACATGGTCAATGGTATCGAAAGCAGCACTGTAGTCCAGTAGAACCAGTATTGCTTCATAACCCCTGTCGACAGCCAGTAACAGATCGTTCATCACTTTCAACAGTGCTGTTTCAGTTGAGTAGGACGAGCGATAGGCCGACTGAATCTTGGGAAACAAGCAATTCTTCTCTAGATATGCTTTCAACTGGAAGCTAGCAACTCTTTCAAGAACTTTCGCAAGGAACATCAGGTTAGAAACAGGTCTATAGTTCCTTAGGTCATTGTGATCCAAACTACGCTTCTTCAGCAAGGGCACAACACGGGCTAACTTGAAGCTGTCAGGAACACTCCCAGAAGACAATGAGCCTTTTATGATGGAAGTGATAACTGGCAACAGTTCATCCATACAACACTTGACCAGCCATGTTGGAAGAGGGTCCAGCTTGCAATGTTTAGAAACCATGGCATTGATCACTTTTCTAACTTGAATTTCAGACACTGGTTCGAAAGAGGAAAATTCACTAACACACGAAGGAATTTCCCCTATGTGACGAGAGGACAAGTTGAACCCTGACATGTTTTGTTGAATTTTCTTCTGAAAGAACTCGCCAAAGTCATTTGCCAGGGTCTCATCTGAGTCTCGATCCGGAAGCACAGGAACCAGATCTGGGCAAGACAACTTTTGGACGAACTTGAAAAGTTGTTTCGTGTCACACCCTTCAACCTCCGCCACCATGAACTGGGATTTGGACTCCACAAGCTTGTCATTGTATGACTTGCAGAGTTGTTGATATATCTGCTTGTGAATCTCTAGGCCTGATTTCGTCATCGTCCGCTCTGCACGGCGTTTAACTCGCTTAGCCTGTCTAATAGATTCGGTGTACCACGGAGCCCGTGGCCTTAGGGAAACGACAGATGATCGAGTTGGCGCGTGCTTATCCAAGAGTTCCTGGAGCACACTATTGTACTGTAGAACTGCTTCAGAGGAACATGATGGAAGCGAAAGTGAGGATGTAAGAGAAGATGCCAAAATATCTGACTTGAATAAGTCCATATTATTATTATTATTATTATTTATTCGGCAAAACAAAGTGTATACAGAGGGTTACATAGAAGAACAAATCATACAAAACAAAGGATGAAAATCATTGTGATTCCCATGAGCATTTACAAGTTGCCAGGAATGGGGCAGGCAAACTAAATCACCGAAACCGTGAAGGTCCCCCATTCCGACTTGCAGTACTCATGGGAGATCACTACATAAATACATTGTAACAAGTAACAAGAGTATAGCAACAATCAATATGACAATGATAAAAGAAGAAACTCAAATTTTAAAATTAATCAATAAAGTACAAATTATTCATATGTTTTTTAAGGAAAATTATAAAGAGCCTTCCAATAAAAGCAACATGTCTTCGTATTGGACAATTATTAAGTAAAACAAGAATGATGGACTCCGTCTTGGTATCAAAATACAGGCTAGGGGTGTCCAGTTATTTGACATAAATATTTTACGGTTGAATTATACAAAATTAAAATATACAAATTTGCTTTTGTGTAATATATATTAGATAATTATTAAGGGGCAGAAATGCAAATGGTTGGCAAGAATTGTTAACTACAAACTATTCCTTTACAGTTTTCATTTTTAAACCAAGAATCATACAAAATCAAACAAATTATAGAAAAACGGGGGTAATGTACTTTCAAGGCAAAGAAATTACAGAAGCTGTTCAATTGACAATAGTAATACATAGTGGTAGATAAAGGACAGTAGTAATTTAAGTTACTGTAATAATCAAGTTAAGCAGGAGTATACCAGTATTATCATCTAAAAACAAAAGGTAATAACTGATCATCCTATAATAAAATAAGCGGATAAAACACATGTGTATATACTAAAAACCTAATAGAGCTGAGAAAAGATTTGGCTTTTCAATTTGGATTGCCAAGTTTGATATTGGGACAATAGAAAGTCATTACGGAGTTCTACAGGGAATTCATCCCAGAAGCGAGGAAAGAGATACAAAGCAGTGTTATTCAAACGCTGTGTTCGGGCAAGTAGGTGATGAAACTTCAGTTCATTAGGGCGGCGTGTTATCATTAGAATATTTTGTATAACTACATCACAGTCAATGAATCTATAAAGAGATTTACAAATGAATGACATCAGCAAGTACTTTCTACGAGACTCAAGTGTGTACCAGTTAAGTGACCTTAGACGCTGATTGTAGGGCATCTGTTGTCGGTACTGTTTTAGTATCAGACGAGTTGCTCTACGTTGGATGCCTTCTAATCTGTCACATAAATTACGATTGACAGGGAACCAAGCTGGTATATTCAACAAGCTGGTATATTCAACAAGCGGAAGAACAAGTGATTTATCAGGGTTCGTACACTTACACATTTTTAAAATTCCATGACTTTCCATGACTTTCCAGAGCAGGATAATGTAAATTTCCATGACCATTTTCAATGATGAACATGTCTTAATTTAAAGCGTACAACTATATATCATCGCAATACTAGGAAGCAAATCACAAAACTATATAAGGCGCACCCCTATTTCGAAGATTCTCCCCCCGAAAAAAAATAAATAAATAAAAAATCTGAAAAAAAATCTGGATTTCTTTTTTTGTCATCTTTAGTTTAAAAACAACATGTTACTAGACCAAGGTCTAACTTAGTTCACAAGCACTTCAACTGTGCCTCGTATAATGAGAGTGAAAGTATTTTTTGAACACTGAAATAAGACGTGATCTGATCTGGTTAAGCCCCAGTCCCATATAAAGCCGGACCAGCACGGACGAGCACGGACCACTCCGGACCATCCCGGACCATGGTCAGGGGTGATCCGGGATGGTCCGGGATGTTTTGTTCAAAAAATCGCAACCGCCGACCGTCTCCCCGGACCCAACACGGTACCACTACGGACCGCCCCGGACCGTCCGGGCATAGCCCCGGCAGCAGTACAGATCATTCCAGACCCAGCACGGAGCCGCCACGGACCGTCCCGGACCACCCCGGTGCCAACACGGTGCCAACACGGATGACACCGGACCATCCCGGTGCCAACACGGATCATCCCGGAACGCCCCGGTGCCAACACGGATCGCCCCGGCAGAGCCCCGGATCATCACGGACCGCCCCGGACCATCCCGGACCGCCCGTGGTGGGTATATTTAAGCTGGGTATTTTCATGCATTAAATCATTCTGCTCTGACTTTTCAAGTGACAACAAGTATCTGCAATTTGCTAGAAGAGAAATAAAAAAGATGCCTCCCAGGAAGAAGCTCGCCGTCAAAGTGGTTGCCAAGAAGCCCACAAAAAAGAAGCCAGAGCCAGAACCAATCGAGTCTGACGTGGAAGATGACGTCGAATCTACGAGGTCTGGGTCTCCTACGAGGTCTCCCCAGAGGTCTCAGGCTGATGCACCTAAAAAACGCATGAAGAAGAAGCCACTAGTCCTCAGTGAGGAAAAAGAGTTGGAGATGGCCGAGTGGATGCGTCGCCATGCCTTCCTCTACAGCAAGGGGATGAAGGAGTACAAGGACAGCGGGAAAAAGAATCGTTTGTGGCAGGAGAAGGCGGAGGATCTGGGTGTGGAGTCGGGGGCTTTACTGAAGGTCTGGTACGAGAGCGTACGTACCAAGGTTGGGAAGATATCCGACAAGAAGAGCGGCTCGGCCCACAAAGATTTGACAGAGAGGGACACCTTCTTGATGTCGAACTTCGGCTTCCTGGCGACTCACATTTCGCGCATGAAGGGAACCACGGCATTCAGTGTAAGTACAAATTGTTATTGCTCTGCTCTGCTGGTTTCATGTTCAACCGTATAATATATACAATGTGCTGTCATAAATGTACTAATATATTTATGTCATTCTTACCTTTGTATCTGCAGTTGAAGAGTCAGCTCGCCTCCGCTTCCTCGGTGTCTGGCAGACGATCCAGCTCCTCCGAGTCTGAGATGGACGTCGAGCTGGATGACCTCGAACCCGCTGAGCCGATTCAGACGCCTCCCATCGACTCTTCGCAGCCTTCTTCGCAGCATTCCCAGACCAAGGGGAAGACGAACGTCCTTGGGGGCAGGAAACTCTCTGCCAAGTCCTCAGCCAAGTCCTCCACCCGCATCCAGCGTCCAGTGGAACCCGACGCAGAGGCCATCGAACTTGTCAGCACCATGCAGAGCCAACATGAGCGAGCCAACGCGATTCAGAGCCAGATCTCAGGTCTTCTGGAGCGCGAACAGACGTCTGCCACAGCTGCCTGGGGTTCGTGGATCGGTGCCATGGCAGCTGATATTGACCCACGCCTACTCCCGAGATTCTACCGCCATAGTCTGGACCTGGTCCTGGGGTTCGTCGATGAGTCCAAGCAGCTTCCACCCCTTTCGGTTCCTATCGCGCAGCAGGAGCAGCAGCGGCCTCTTCCGTTCGTGGTGCCGATGCCTATCCCGCCGCCGCCCTTAAGCATGCAGCAGGACCAGCAGGGGACGTACAGCGCCACGATACCTCCCTTGTCGTACCATGGGGGACATCAGGGACATCAGGGACAGCAGAACCAGCAGCAGAACCAGGGTCAACAGACGTGGTTCCACCCCATAACAGAGAGACCAAGCGCGAGCAGCTCCTGGGACACCATGGGACCTACAGCTGGGCAGAACATATCACATGCAACTCAACCCCAACGACCAGCGAGCACGCCAATGAACATCAGTAGCAGATTGCTGCCAAATGTAAGTGACATAACATTTGGTTCACCTTTTCCTGCTACAACTCCTGTTCCTGTTGTTCGTCAACATAATGAATCCGACCTGCAGAGCACGGAACTGTCAACACTGTGAACAGTGATGAACACTATTGAACTCTGATCCTTATTATATTTTTTCATCTTGTGATTATGTTTGTATTGAAATTTTGAATAATATGTGATTTTCAATATATAAAACGTTTTATTCAAATGAAAACAGTTGTTGTGTTTATCATTTTAAGGTAAAAAGATAAAAGTTAACCAGAAATGTTACAGAAACCAAATGGTTTGTATTGAAATTTTTAATAGATAACAAGTTTTATTCAAATGAAAACAGTTGTTGTGTTGATCATTTTGAGGTAAAAAGATACAAGTTAACCAGAATTGTTACAGAAACCAAATGGTTTGTATTGAATTTTTTAATAGATAACATGCTTTATTCATATGAAAACAGTTGTTGTGCTGATTATTTTAAGGTAAAAAAGATACAAGTTAACCAGAAAAGTTACAGAAACCAAATGGTTTGATTGAAATTTTGAATAAATAACATGGTTATTCAATTGAAAACAGTTGTTGTGTTGATCATTTTAAGGTAAAAAGATACAAGTTAACCAGAAAAGTTACAGAAACCAAATGGTTTGATTGAAATTTTGAATAAATAACATGGTTATTCAATTGAAAACAGTTGTTGTGTTGATCATTTTAAGGTAAAAAGATACAAGTTAACCAGAAAAGTTACAGAAACCAAATGGTTTGATTGAAATTTTGAATAGATAACATGTTTCATTCAAATGAAAACAGTTGTTGTGTTGATCATTTTAAGGTAAAAAAGATACAAGTTAACCAGAAAAGTTACAAAAACCAAATGGTTTGTATTGAAATTTTGAATAGATAACATGTTTTATTCAAATGAAAACAGTTGTTGTGTTGATCATTTTAAGGTAAAAAGATAAAAGTTAACCAGAAATGTTACAGAAACCAAATGGTTTGTATTGAAATTTTTAATAGATAACAAGTTTTATTCAAATGAAAACAGTTGTTGTGTTGATCATTTTAAGGTAAAAAGATACAAGTTACCAAAAAAGTAAAAAAACAAAAATGATTTGTATTGAAATTTTGAATAAATATCATGTTTTATTCAAATGAAAACAGTTGTTGTGTTGATCATTTTAAGGTAAAAAGATACAAGTTAACAAATGTTTTATAACAAGTTGAAAATTCACATGAACAGTAATAAACAGTAAAACCTTCACTGAAACCTTTCATATTTTTATCAGAGCATTAACTTATTATGTTCATAGTAAAAGTTAAAGTTTTTTGTGGAGATAATATTGTTAACTTTTTTTTAGCTGCGCTATGCCAAAAGGCAGCGGAGCTTTTGAAATGCTGAGTTGTCCTTCGTCCGTCGTCGTCAACTTTTGGTATCTTAAATATTATCTTTAAAGTTTACGGTCGAATCTTTTTGGAATTTTGCTGTAAAATACAAAAAAATAATTCAAGAGGCCCCAATTTTTTGTGTGTGGATTATCGCATTTTTCACAAAATGGCGGCCGTTTCCGTCGAAAAAAGCGTGTTTTCGGACTTGGAACGTCATTTTCTCATAAACTTGTCAGAGAGTTTTGAGAATTTGTTTGCAAAATATGCTTTGGTCGTTGGTGCTGCCTATTAGTATGTGTGCTCAATTTTAAGGTAACAACACATTTTATTGTATTACAATAATAAAGATATCATCATTTTATCAAACATATTACATACTGCATGAACATAAATATAAAAAATGCCTACTGTTCATGTTTCATTTTCAGTTCAGACTCAGAGTTCACTGTTATGTTTAAATCATGTCATTTTGCCACGGCACTGAGCCCACTTCCGAGTTGTAGTAGGCACGGAAATATTCCCTCTGTTTCTTGGCGGCGTTTGTGGTGGAGTTGCGTCCAAGGTCTGATATCCCGTCCAAGAGAGGGTTGTCCTTGCGCCACTCTCCTGGGATGATGTTGTGATTGGCGTCCTCTTGATCCGCGACGGTCGTGTGCTCCTTCCTCTTCCGAAGTCTCAGAAGGTTATGTAAACAGATGCACGACAGCACAATGGACGTCACTGTGTTCGGGTCCTGTTGCATCGTGGTGAGTAGACAGCGGAAGCGATGTGCTAGAATGCCGAAAGCGTTTTCGACAATCCGACGACCCCTCGACAGCCTGTAGTTGAAGATTCTCTCTGAATTATCCATGTTCCTCTTCGAGAAGGGTTTCATTAGCCAGGTCCTTAAGGCGAAGGCGTCGTCTGCAGCAATGAAGTAAGGCATCGGTTGGTCATCATGTGGTAGCGGCTCAGGGGGAGGTATTCCGATGACTCCCTTCTCGATGGCTTCTTTCAGTTCGCTGTTGTTGAACACTTGGGCATCTCCCGCGGAACCATTGCTGCCTACTTCAACCCACGAGAACTTGTAGTCACCGTCCACCAGGGCCATAAGGATAATAGAATGGAACCCTTTGTAATTGTAGTACATTGATCCACCCCCACTAGGGCACTTCATAGCAATATGTTTGCCATCCAGGGCACCGAGACAATTGTGCAACTGCCATCGGTTAGAGAAGTGTTCGGCTATCTTCTTCCATTCGTTTGGGGTCGTAGGGCAGGGGATGAGCTCCTCGGAAAATTCAGCAACGATGGCTGCGCAGACCTGACGTATGACCTTCGAGATTGTGTTGTGTGCCACCCTGAAGCCGTACATCAGGGAGTGGTAGCTGTCGCCTGAGGCTAGGTAACGTAGGGTCATTGCCAACTTTATGCCAGGTGATAGAGGCTTTCTGTACCTGGAGGCCTTCGGGTTGGTGATTCTGCCCTCTATGCGTCTCAGGATTTCTTGGTACAGGTCGTAGTCCATCCGAAGGAAGTTTCGGAAGCCCTTCGTATCTTCTTCCTTCAGTTCATTCATCAAACGTGCGTACTGGCCCAGGTTCGGTCTTCTCTGCAGCCATTTTCGGACCCAGATGCTTCTCTTCTTCTTTTTAATTACTCTTTTGGCAGTCTCACGCCATTTTGTTCTTCTCTGTCTCTCTTGTAGTTTGGCTTTGGCCATTAAAATAGTGTTCTCTGTTTGCTGTTGGTTAATTTGAAGCTGCCAGCTCATCAGTCGAAGTCGGTTCAGGCGGGTGTTCGGCAGCTCAGACATGTTGACCGGTCTAAAGTCGGAGAGATGTGAAATGATCTGAAAATTTTCCCTTTTTATATCGTTTTCTATCCATGTCCGGCACATACTGTGGTCGTCCGTGCTCATCCGTGGTGATCCGTACTGCCACCGTGTTGTCACCGGCGTGGTCCGGGATGGTCCGTGCTGGTCCGTGTTGATCCGTGTTGACACCGGGGTGGTCCGTGTTGGCACCGTGGTGGCCTGTACACGTCCGGGCTCGTCCGGGGTGATCCGTGTCGCCACCGTGCTGGGTCCGGGATCATCCGTAGGGGCGCCGGGGTGATCCGGGGTCAATAACTCACTCCCGGACTGCCACGGATCAACACGGACCGCCCCGGCGCCACTACGGATGACCCCGGACCCAGCACGGTGGCTACACGGATCACCCCGGATCAAACTATTGCCCCGGACCGTCCCGGACCACCCCGGCAGTTTTTGACCGTCAAAAACATCCGGGGTCGACTCCCGGACCGCCCCGGACCATCCAGGACCATCCAGGATCATCCAGGACCATCCAGGACCACCCCGGTGCCAACACGGTGTCAACACGGACCGACTCCCGGATCACCCCGGATGGGGTCCGGGATGGTCCGGGACGGTCCGGGACGTATATGGGACTGTAGCTTTAACAAAAAGCCACCAAAAACAAAGCCAACATTGGTATTTTTGTAAACATCAGATCGGCTCTTATTTCAGTGACAGTGTTCGAAAATACTTTCATTTTATTACGAGGCACAGTTGAAGTGCTTCTGAACTAAGTTAGACCCAGTAACAATGTTGTTTTTAAAACTAAAGATGACAGAATTTTTTCCTCCGAGTCCAAACAGAAATGTGGACAGGCTAGTTTTTGCGTGGTGATTTGTTATCCCCTGTACTGTGTAAGTGAGCTGCATCATACAGGTGAGTGAGCTGAAGACACGGGAGAGCTTCGGCCGGCAAAGTGCCTTGTGACAGGGCATAATTTATCGAGACTGAAAAAAAAAACTCTAAAAAAAAACTCTCTTCCTTTCAAATTAGGAACGTAGTTTAACTTCAAATAGTAGATCCTATTCTTTATTTGCATTATGTAATTAATGTTGAGACACAGAGATTTTTGAAAACCACTAAAAAGTAGCATTTGAGGACTCAAATATCCTGTACCCGACTATATAAGGCGCACCCCCGACTTTCGATATTTTGCTAACGGAAAAAAGTGTGCCTTAATTGCGGACCTTGGGGAAAGCAGCAACCACGAGGCTAGGCTAGCTAACTGGTTGTATGCTCGCGCTCGCACAATGGACGCCAAATGTGGAATCAAATTATGCGATTCAGGGTTGCGATATTCGAGTAGAGAGCAACACGATTTTTAAAGGGGTTCTTAAGAAAACACGAGTGGCTCATGATCCCTCATGATGTATAGTTATTTACATTTAAATTATTGTTTTATGAATATTCTGTGGTAAAACCCCGGGGTAAAACACCTTCATTCAAACTTTTAATCAAAATCAAAGCACAAGCTCGATCAAAAAGTAATCGTACAGCGTGCATGCAGCACACTGTCTACTGACCGCAATATTTTTTATCCTGCTGTCTACCAGCCAGGATTCAAGACAGTTACAACAGCGTTTGTCACCTCCCTGGTTACAATTAGTCCCAGGTCAACATGCTTAGTTTAGGCCACTCCCTAAGCCCGGCCCCCCCCCCCCCCCACTCAGAGGTCGGAATGACCGCATGCGTGTTGCCAAAATGTCCGGTAAAGGGGTACTTTTCGTGTGACAAAGTCCGGCCCGAGAATTGTAAAAAAAGGGATGTATTTGACTTTTCACCCGGAGATTTCTTTAAAAAGGGGGTGTTTTCCTTTTTTTCTCTCATCTCTTTGGACTCCTGAGAAATTATTCCGAATTTAGGGGGGTACATTGAGCATTTTTCCTGATTTAGGGGGGTCTCCAAGGCAGAAAAAGCCTGCGAGAAGCCCGCGAAAGGGGGGTTCGGAAATGTTGGCAGTCCTCAGATAGGGGGTGCTTTCAAAAATAGGGTACGAGCATATGCGTACCCTAAATAACACTGAGTGGGGGGGGCCGGGTCCCTAAGACGAAACCAGCCGGGTTTTATATACTGGGCTAGGCCAGGGAGGTGAAAGAAAAGGAGGCGAAACTCTTGTAATTTATTCAAACGCATTCTTGAGTTCTAAAGCGTAACAATGGGATGTGTAACATTCCACTTGGCTTTGAAGTTCCATGCTCCGAACCGCGCTTCCACTGCGGGGAATTTCGGAAGCCAGGCACCAGTTTTACATTTATTACAAAATATTAAATTACCGGCAAAATTTCAGTGTAAATCAAAAACTTTATATGGGGATTTTATTGGGAATAGTGCATCAAACAAATTTTCAAATTTAGAACTCCGTCCTTCCTTTAATTTGTGTGCCAGAGTTGGTAAAAGAAAAATTACATCCTGTCAAAAACTCAATATTTTAGGATGATGCGCTAATTTGTGCATGCTTTAATGTCCCGTTATTTGATCCATGATTTACAATCTTCAATAACATTAAGTTTGCTAATGCGTGTTTTCGCGTGTTTTTTTGTATTTTTCAAGTTTAAAAAAGGATGAAAGTACACAAGTTTGTGTTCGCTTGTTCTACTCTTTACACATTCAACAATGGATGAGAAATCATTGGAAGGGACAGCGAACAGTTGCAGTGATACCATTTTCTGATGTAGGAATTCTAAATCCTGACATTTCATGCGCTCTTTTATCTCACCACCTGGTCAACAGTTGCAGATTAGCGCATAAATTTTCGGCGGCTTGGAGCATGGGGTCAAAGGAGAGCGGCTTGATTCCTGTCCTTCTCTATCACGTCCCTGGCTAGGCATTCACCACTTCTCAAAATACAGAAGTCACTCCCTGTCAGAGCATCCATCCCACATGCTTTACTATTATTGGTCCGTTTGTCTGTCAATTAAAAACAAGCGTGGAAGACAGCGCCCATGCTATACAAGAACCCAAGATTTGCATACATTTTGTTATGTGCTGGTTGCCTGGTAACCCTGTTCAGAGAAATCACATGTAATATTACACCACGCTGGGCGGCAACTGTCTGGCATGCATGCACTAATCCTTGCCGTTTGTAAACACAATAGTTAAAAATACTGCTTGGATTTTGATAGGGAATATGAATATCTTTGCCTTTTAAAAATAATTCCACGACATGCTTTGGGGGAACTGAGAATGAGTGAAAGTCGATAGTGAAAGAGATAAAGAGATGTGAATGAATGTTGGGGTGGGATCGAGAAACAAAATGAAAGAAACTTGAGAAAGGAAAGAAAACATGCGAAAACTACTTTTCAAAGGTAAATAATTTTGTATTATTTTAAAGAAAGAGATCAAAATTAATAAAGGCAAGATTTGAGGGGGGCAATAGGTTTTAAAAATAGTCGAAAGATGATTAAATAGAGAAAAAAGAGAGAGAAGAGAGAGATCAGACTCGATGGAAGGAAGAGAATGATGAGTTAAATGTGCCAATCGCTCGAGAATGGGAGACAGAGAGCATATAGTAGGTCCATGCAGAGAGAGAGAGAGAGACAGTGAACTGGGGGCAAGGAGAATAAAGCAAACTTTCACATGCACACTCTCGATCTCATAGCACCACGGGTCAACAAACTTCATAATTTGTGATTCTGCAGTACTGTGCCAGCGGTCACTGACAAGTTTAATTTATGCTGGCTTCACTCCCCGCCCACTCACAAGGAAAGTTTTTGATTGGTCTGATCAGTCACATCACTTGCTTACTGCAAGGAGAAACACACACACAAACAAATGCTCTCGATCTCACAGCTCAGCACAATAGGTGAATTTGCCTACACACAGGTCAACAAACTTCATAATTTATGATTCTTCAGTACTGTGCTAGTGGTCACTGACAAGTTTAATTTATGCTGGCTTCACTCTCCGCCCACTCACAAGGAAGTTTCTGATTGGTGTGATCAGTCACATACACACAAATACTGTACACACACACTCTCACAGAGCTCAGTACATTCAGGGACGTGATAGAGAAGGACAGGAATCAAGCCGCTCTCCTTTGACCCCATGCTCCAAGCCGCCGAAAATTTATGCGCTAATCTGCAACTGTTGACCAGGTGGTGAGATAAAAGAGCGCATGAAATGTCAGGATTTAGAATTCCTACATCAGAAAATGGTATCACTGCAACTGTTCGCTGTCCCTTCCAATGATTTCTCATCCATTGTTGAATGTGTAAAGAGTAGAACAAGCGAACACAAACTTGTGTACTTTCATCCTTTTTTAAACTTGAAAAATACAAAAAAACACGCGAAAACACGCATTAGCAAACTTAATGTTATTGAAGATTGTAAATCATGGATCAAATAACGGGACATTAAAGCATGCACAAATTAGCGCATCATCCTAAAATATTGAGTTTTTGACAGGATGTAATTTTTCTTTTACCAACTCTGGCACACAAATTAAAGGAAGGACGGAGTTCTAAATTTGAAAATTTGTTTGATGCACTATTCCCAATAAAATCCCCATATAAAGTTTTTGATTTACACTGAAATTTTGCCGGTAATTTAATATTTTGTAATAAATGTAAAACTGGTGCCTGGCTTCCGAAATTCCCCGCAGTGGAAGCGCGGTTCGGAGCATGGAACTTCAAAGCCAAGTGGAATGTTACACATCCCATTGTTACGCTTTAGAACTCAAGAATGCGTTTGAATAAATTACAAGAGTTTCGCCTCCTTTTCTTTCACCTCCCTGGTACATTGCATGAATTTGCCTATACACAGGTCAACAGTCATGCACACACAAATTTCTCAAAAAGAACATTAGCATCGTACTACACTGCATTGTGATGGGCTAGCTATTATGTGAACCACAAATTTTATAAAATGTGTTTTTCCTTTGTTCACGAGACGAATTAAATGCCATTTTAACAAACATCTTGAAGAAAAAAAGATTTTCCCTGACTTTCCAGAAGAAATGGACGAATTCCCTGACTTTCCCTGACTTTTTGCTTCTGGAAAAAACATTTTTAAATTCCCTGACTTTCCAGAAATTCCCTGACCCGTACGAACCCTGTTTATACAGGCAAAGTAGGGCCGGTGATGAGAGACCCCCAGAAACGGAAGTGATGAGACCTAACATACGATTTGCACGTGAGACAACATAATCAACATGTGAATCCCACTTCAGGTTACTGTTTATGATTATTCCAAGATATTTGGTTTTCTGGACAATTTCAATTGGCTGATCGTTCAAGAAGTAAGCAGGCGGGTCAACCTTTTTGCGCGCTGCAGATATTCTCATCACTTTCGTTTTGGAGACATTGAGAGACATACGGTTAGATAAGCACCAATTAGAGACTTTAGTGAGATCATTTTGCAAGGTAATTGAATCAACAATTGATCTTATTGGCCTAAATATGATAGTGTCGTCGGCGAACAGCGCACTAGGAGAGTCAACTAAAGATGTCAAGTCGTTTATAAACATATTAAACAAAAGCGGTCCAATCACACTCCCTTGGGGGACACCAGATGGCACTCTAGCCCATTCAGAGGCAGCACCTCTATAGATGACTCGTTGGCGGCAACTGCATAGTAGTGACTTTATCCAATGCCAGAGATTACCACTGATGTTGAACTGAATGGCTAACTTCTGCACAACTTCTGGCACAAGCTGCAACAGGCGATTCATATGGTCAAAGTCCGCTTTGGGAATGTTGAGGAACTCACGAAGAACTGCCTTGGAAGCGAAGGGTTTAGGGGAAATGATCTTAAATACAATGCCGTGATGGTCACTTGGAACTGGGTTGGGACAGACAGATGCCTCATCGAAAAGGTCAATACGATTGGTGAACACATGGTCGATCAGGGTACCAGATGAAGGGTCGTCCTTGGAGGGACGGGTTACAGTAGTAACAAGCCGAGTCAGTTCCATAGTGTTGCATATAGAAAGAAGACGCGATGAATCGCTTGATGAATAATCTGACAGGTCAACATTCAGATCTCCGGTAAGGATAACACCATCAAAATCAATTGAGGTCCTCTGAATGTTGTCAATGTGATCTTGAAGCAAGTTCCAGTACTGCGCATTGGAGTTTGGCGGACGATATAGAGATAATAGAAGCCATTTTCTCTTGCGGAGAAGAAACTCAATGCTTATCAACTCCAGATCAGGATGTTCCAAGTTTTCTAATCTCCTAGGGCAAAGGCTAGCGTCGATGGCAGACTTCTATCCTTGCGAAATAATACGTAATTAGATGGAAACCCGAGTTCGACATCCTCACATGCAGCGTTCAGCCAGCTTTCAAGAATGCAAATGATTTCAGTATGATCAGTAGCCAAGTGGGCGAGTAAGACGCTTCTTGGTAGCAGCAGGACGTTCCAGGTTTAGTGTGCATAATATACAGTCATGATCGGATGGAAGACCCCTGATAGAATCAATCTCAGGAACCACTTCGTCGACCCTTCTAGTTATGAAAAGGTCGAGCGTATGTCCAGCTTGATGTGTTGAAGTCATCACGTGCTGCTGAAAACCTGCCTCTTCTAGGATATTGAGGAAGGTGGTAGCATCTTTGTTCCTGCAGTCGTCTACATGGATGTTAAAGTCACCAACAAGCATCGGGATGTTATCAACAACTGCGACAGATTCCATCAAAGAGGAAAATTCCTTCAAGAACAAAGAAAAACTTAGTTTGTTCTTCGATGATGGAGGTGGTCTATAGATAGCATAAATGTGAAACACTGATGCACCGTTAGACCGAATAGTAAAGTCCATCATCTCGAATGATTCATAGTTTATACTAAAGTCTTGAAGACTCACTTTGACCGCGGAACGATGGATAATGCAGATGCCTCCGCCAGAACTGGTCGTACGAGGTTTGTGCACTATCTCATAATTACGTAGCGTTGCCCTAATGTCGGCAAGGGTATGGTTGTCGCGATGGTCGCCCCTAAGCCAGGACTCGGTGACGATGAGTACGTCAAGGTCGTTGCCAATGATAAGGTCACAAATGATGGTGGTCTTATTGTTCATAGATCTGGAATTCCAATGACCTATTCGAACTCTTCTCTCAGGAGTACATTCAGTGACAGAAGGAGGAGTTCCAGTGAGTTGTATAAGTCCACCAGTATCCCGCATCGATATTCCACTAGAAACATTAGTATATCTAGTCTGAATGAGTACAGGAATGTTGAACTTACGCCTCATTACCCCTCCTCGGTAGCCACGCTTAGTTCTTCGAGCGATTCCCAACTCTTTGAAAAAATTCCATTCATGTGCACTAAGAAGCTTAGGCTGAATTTCATTGTCAAAGTTTCGCCCTAGACACAAGAGCCCCTCACGGGAGTAAGTGCAGCGAACCATGTTAAGAGACAGCGTAGACGGATGGACTACCACATCAAGTGCTATGCATAGGCACGTACAAACAGCAAACAATATGTTCACAATTTGATGTGAAAATATCCAAAGGTGAAAATGCATGATTGCAAACACGAATGATCACAAAAAGTACGTCAGAATTGTCACTGAACATCAAGAACAAATGTCACTAAGATCAACTAGTCAAATATACTCACAAAGTATGCAAAATTAACAAATTTCAGATGAAAATCTGAAGAGAGCTAAAACGGTGCGGCCACTATAAAGGGCGCCACCTATTGATGGCAATATCCTATTACACTGTTACGTGAGGACTAAACAATGTGGAAAGTGAGTACAAAGCATTGAATAGTATAAGTCAAATCAAATTTGGTCTTCTTTGGATGTGTTTTAAACTTTAATATGCCTTAGTTTGGACATGGGAAGTTACAAAGAATTAAATATTCTTTAGCATTACAGAATACATGGACTTGGCAACAGTGTTCAATGGCTATAGGTTATGCATACAAACCTCCAACAAGCTCCTACGTCTATGTAAATCCAACTCTTGGTCGAGTAGCTCGCTGATCTGAAAGAGTTGAGTTAGGATAAAGAGCACTTATAAAGCATGTGATCCAAACAGGACACTGTGACCCCAAATTGTATATTCTACATAGACATTTTATAAACACATTTCATTTCAACTAATTGCCCAGTGACATGATTAAACGGCTAAAAATGGTGGGAGGACAGAACAAAACATTGAGGCAGCTTGGCAGCAATGATCGATGGCTACAATTATGCAAACAAACCCTGTTTTCTGCAGATGTGTAAAAAGATAACTCTGGGTAGGCTGGCTTGATCATTTGAAAAAGAGTTGAGGAGGGATTCAAGATCATTTATAAAGCATGTGATCCAAAGAGGATAATATGACCCCAAAGAGGGTCGTATGAATTATTCCCCTTCCCCCCTGGATATTAAAGGTACTATGTTCCTTTTGCAGGCCAACAAAATTAAAAGATTAAATTCCAACGGCATTTGAAAGATAATACTAATTTAGATCTTCCCTCAAAAAATGGGGGCTTGAAAATGTCTTTAAGTGGGAAAATAACGATTATTGGTTGTCGAATCGACTTAGGAGCTATAGAGCCAGTAAGTAATAGTCTTGATTTTCAGACCATTGTACCGAATGGTCGTACGTTTTATGCTGCACAAAGATTTAATCAGTTAAATTTTGGCCATTACAAGAAGTGGGTTATTGATGTAGACAAATGCTCATGTACCCTTTATAGCTCATTATATGTATGTTTTTACCAAAGAAGAAAAAAAGCTAGTCAGTCACTCAATAGTGTCTGACAGTGAAGTCTAGCAAGTAAACAGGTTTCCTTGCATAATTTGAATATTAGGACACTGCTAAATTTTAAATTTCACAGATAGGACATACATGACATATTCATAATCCCTGCAAAGTTCTACAGATTTTGAGGTTGGCTGCAAAAGGGACATAGTATCTTTAAAGGTATGGGAAATTTGTATTTTGGAATATATGAACCAGCAGAAGAATAAATATTTAGAAAAATGAGTAACTCCAATATAAAGCTTGGATGTCGAAACATCAGACCTTTCTCCTCCTTTTTGCTCCATCGACTGGAAAAAAATTAAAGCATATTTACATTAAAATGTAACTTCTTTCCAAGTACGAATGACAATTTAAGCATTTCAATGTGCATTGGTAGAGGTCAAAAGTTTGCTTGTCATAATCTCAGAAAGGTACACATGAAAACTGTAGGTTTTAATAGCGTAACATAAAGTTCATTGCCTCGCAAATATAATGTTCAGAACTTCAGACATCTCCAAAATCTACAAATTTAATTCAATTCGCACTACATGGGTATGGATATTTTCAGATACTTTTCCAACTTGAAAAATTGAATAATCAATCAAGCCTTTCTTCTATGAACCAAACGTAGAGAGTTGAGATAAAACAGTTGGTATTATATGGTTCCATTCACATACCTTGGCCTGCTCTTTAGGCTTCGTAGCTGGATCGTCAGCCATCTTTGATATCTACCAGATAACCTGCATGGAGGATAGAAATAGAATTCAGGTCGACAGATAGTGGTAAAATCTTGGACTATCGTTTATGGCAGCAAGAGCACTTGTCAAGCAAGAAGATGCGGTGACTGTCCTAATCTTATTTTGCCTGATTCGATTGGTTAAAAGGGAAATTCCAGTTTGGCATCAAGTTGACTTAAACAGAAGCATGCAATGTATAAAAAATGAGAGAAGCAGGTGAGTGACATCCAGTTTGAGGAAAATAAAAAGGTGTTACTCTGTATTCACTTATGGGTTTCAGAGTTGCCATTGATCAAACACATATTGGCAGCTCTATGACATACCAGTTTAGTTTGCATTATACAATATACATATCAGAAATTATGGTATGTTCATATAATTGATGTTAGGTATGATACCATCATCATTATGTAAAGGCTTATCATTTCAAAATTGCCTGCAAATACTTTTTTAATTCTCATAAATTACATCAAAGTTGTATAAGCCTACAGTCACAGGAATGAAACTTACAAGTTAGAGATGTTATGAGCTGTAACCTTCATATGGATTTTACCCATACACTTAAGCGCCACCCTCTTCAAACACACCCCGCACCGCCGTGAAAAGCTTTAAAAATGTGCCAAAATCCCCCCTTTTCAACTACATCTTTTGATCCGATCGGCCTAGTTCACCACCAGAAAAAGCATTAGAAAATTTGACTTTTCTTCTTTATGGTGATGTAAAAATCACGATATTTTGTTGTTCCATCGCACCGTCATTTATTGACTATTTTTCATCAATTTGGTCAAAATTTCTGTGGTATTGAGCTTTTTGACTGAACGCTCCTGGCTATATCTGGCAGTTTCTTGCCGGGAGAGGGCTATTTTTTACCACCGGAAAAAGATTCATGTCATTCGGTTCATTCTGAACATTTTGATATATAAATGATTCTCATTGGATGAAAAAAACACAGTCAAAAGATTAAACCAATTGGTACCTCTGTCTGATTATGGGAACTTTCTGCATTTGATCGCCTTTTCTCCATTGATTTACGTAGGTACGGTAGCCAGCGGACCGGGTCGTACCATTTTTGCTCGAAGGAAATGACGCCATGGAAATAAGAGTGTAATATATTTTTAGTAAATAATCACATAGGCAGAGCGCAAGAGTGAATTGTATCTCGTATTCCTTGACAAGATAAGAAACAATGCCTGCATGCATGCTGAGCATAAACATGCACAGTCTCAATTAATCGCCATACGTGTCCCTCTGACCATGCCCACCTCCGTGTCACCCGTGCTCTAAATAGAACGGTCGCGAACCTAGAGTGATCCAATCAGAGCCAATCAGTTTCAGCCGCACAGCTGCGCGGACATTGTACGCGTAGTCGGTTCTGTATGTGCGCACAGCTGATCCGGGCTGATTAAAAGCTTCAAATTAGGTGAAAGAAATCGGGGGTCACAAATTCATATGAAACAAAAGTGGGGAGGGGAGGCACTCAAAATCCATGTTGGTTTATTAAAGAAATGTTCACACATATATTTATACTGATTTACTCTATTCATGTGCCAAATTTCAAAAAAAATTGTGGCCTCACTGCCGAGATAAGAGAGGGGGGGGGGATGGCTAAATAATCCAGCCTTTCAAAGCCTCTCTGAAGGGGGGGGGGGGAATTTTTGCAGAAGCGTGTAACAAATGACATTCTCTTTCAAATTATGATACAATTTACAGTAAGTGAAATAAATTGATGGGGCTCCCAACAGGCTTTAACTCTTATCATGCCACAGGGCTAATCCCCATTGTGCCAAGCCCAAAATGCCCCAGTGCCAGGTTGTCTTGGAGATAATCTGATTAACGCGATGGATCTATGAATAGCGAGTGCAAATGACACAGCACAATCCAATGAGCATAAACAATAACTGCTATTACGAATGCGCCCTTGCACGCACATGGCACTCAAGCGATGGCTCTCTCGCAAGTACAAAGCACTATAACGATAGCGTGCATGCAGCCTTATGGCAGGCTATGAGTTGAGGGCTAAGGTTTAATTTAAGGTACAAACCGGTAGCGGTAAATTTGCGGTACAAGGGTTTTGGGTGCAAAACATCCATTCAATATTGTTTAAATATTGCCCTTCAGACTGGTTTAGATGGCAAATACTTGAACCTAAATTCGCAAAAAAGCAGAAATACATGCCCAAATGTTTAATGCTCAATTGCATTTGCGATATCTATCCAGGCTGGATCGATATGATAAATTACCAAATATATCAAATGGTAGCCGGTTTCCTTGGAAAATTTGTATCATCATGTTTTAGTCAAAACATATTCTTTCACAAGATTGGTAATTAGAGCTTCCATTTTATTTTTTGAGAGGGGGGCATTTCCCAAACTGGTCTATACCTTAAAAAAAAATCAATCAGAAAAACAGACCCCTGTCGTTCAAACACAGCATGTGTGTACAGGTGTATATTATACACAGGTCTCTCAGCTATTGACAAGGTTATAATCAGTAGAGGCACACGGCCGATTAGGGAGACTTTCTCCCATTTGAGAGCCTGACACACTGACTCCACACCCCGGCCCCCCACTCCTAGACTGGACGGACCCCATGCGTGTTACCAAAATGTCCTTTCGTAACAAAAGAAAAAGTATCGACCCGTATTGACTTTACACACCGGACTTTTGCTGAAAGGGGGGGGGTGCTGAAAAAGGCTTGTATAACAAAAGAAAAAGGTCGACCCGTATTGACTTTACACACCAGACTTTTGCTAAAAAGGGGGGGTCGCTTGGAACACGCATATGCGTACCCTAAATAACACTGAGTGGGGGGGGGGGCCGGGCTCCACACCGACCAACTCTTAGCCATTCAGCCCAATGTGATATTTGTTCGGTCTGTTTCATGTTACTGAGGTAATAGGGACTTTTAGATTTGCACGTCTACAGCTTTAACTGCAATGTGTGACATCATTTTAAGGCATTGCGCATGCATCACGTCATCTCAGTCGGCAATCGAGAATGCGCCAACCTTGCTTTTCCTAAATTTAGTACGATACTAGTATATGCTGCGTGCGCATAAAATCTACAGTTCCTCAGGTAGACAAAGGAACATCCCCTTCCTGCTATTATGTAAAAATGTGTAGAACAGGTGTCACATGCATATTCACCTGTTCTACACATTTTTAGATAATATCAGTGAAGGGATGTTCTTTTGTCTACCACAGCAATTGTTGAGGGTAGAATGAGGAACTGTATATTTTGTCCTCTTTCTTTGTCCGTCATGTTCATAGTGTTACTTCCTGCATGCATGTATATCGTCGAGTGCAATCTAAAAGATTTCTAATTGTAGTCAACATGGGCAGTTGAGTACGTTGACACGCATGATAAGTCGGCGTTCATCGTGTTCTTGTCCACTCAATCTAAAAGTCCCTATTTTTAAACTCAAGACAACTGCGCATGCATTCATATTAGGAACATCACTCCTGTAAAACAGAGAGATTATCACCACATGTACGTCAAAATGTTTTTATTACCCTAATCTAGAATCTCTCCCAAAACAATATATTTCTTTTAGCCTCCCTTAAAGGTACCGTAATACAAAGTTTTGGGAAATTTTGAAAATTGGGTGGATATTAATTCTTATAATTTTGATATATTTGGATGCCCCTGTGGATGTATTATAAGCACTACAAAATTTAGCCCTTAAAACACTTCTGCTTTTGAGAAACATTGATTATAAAAATGCTCCCGGTAAATGTTGATAAATTTCAAATAGCGACGGTACGGCCGTACAATGGTAGCTGCCACCATGAAAATCTCAGAATATGAAGTTGTGATATATAATTTCAAAATGGGTATAGCTAATCGGCCGATTTCAGTCAAGAAACATTGTTTTATATTTACAATTTTATAACTTTAGACTCGACTTCAACCGCGACAACAATTACTGAATATTGTAGGATCGCATATGCTTGCAATATGTTCATTTGAATCAAATTCACGATCCCATACCAAACCTTTGTATAACCTTTAACATTTGCACCTTACCGGTATTTAAAAATAACTGAGAGCTTTTTTTTCCTCAAATCCCCTCCCCCCTCACTCCCTAAGGTCGCTTAATTGCATTCATAGTTTATCTCATTAAGTAACATATCAAAATTCTTATTAATTCTTTCATAAGACTGCCGGCCTACCCCTCATGATTGGTTATTTTATCTAAGAAGACTCTTTGCGGTCGCAATGTGACCTCACAAATCTCAGAGTTTTTGCCACTTGACTTCACTTGCTCACAGACGAATCTTAAAACATTACACAAAAGTATGGTACTGAAGCAGTAACTTTGGCCGTATCAAGAGAAAATCTTGAAGTTCTTCCTTGTATCAACAAATTACTATGTAGGGTATATACCAATGTCTAAAAATGCTATTCTTTGCTTTAAAAAAATTAGTTCAGTGTGCGAACTTACTAGACCTTTATAGCCTGCATGCAAATCCACTCCAGCAAAGCAATATACACAAATGCACACAATAAAGACGATGTGGCTCATCGCCAAATTTGACAGTAGACTCACGATTTGAATTTTTGAATTATTCTTTTCAACATTGGTAAGCAGGGTTGGCATATTTCCCGCTTCGGAGGCTTATTTCCCGGACTCCGGGAAAATAATGGGGTATTTACTGGCAGCGCTGAAAATACACATGGGGCGGTGGGCGATTTGCCCCCGTGAGCTCCATAATCGCCCCGTCAGGTTGCTCACGGGGGCGATTGCAAAATTAAAAATCGCCCCCGTGGAATTATAAAATAAAGATTATCTTTTCTGATATAACTTTAACACAATATTGAGTATCAATTTTCGAACCTTAAACCAATTAAATGGAACTTAGATGACGCTTTCTCTCCCATCTCTATGAGAATTACCGATACAAACAACAGAAGCTCACAGTGCAGCTAGCGCGGCCATCAGCATTGGCTATACTGCGCCGGTAGTACCAGTGTGCACGCTGACGCCCAATATCTGCTGGAGAC